CGGGTGAAAATAAAAAAATAAAATAGGCCTAGGCATCCTATTATGGCCCAACATGGTACGATAGGAGCCATGAAGTCAACACACCAGGCTGGTTCAAATTTAACAATGAATTTTGAACTTTTAATGATACCATTGCATTGAAAGATGGAATAACTGTAACAACTAGGATGAAAAGGACTGTTTTCAACTGTTCAGGGCAAAATATGAGCATTTTGCAGTTGATTCTGGATTTTTATTTTTATTTGCAAATCAGAAAAAAATGAAGCGGGCGAATCCGTTAACCAAGAAATTAAATTGGTGTGGCCTACAGGAAAAAATGCCATCTTCACACTATTTTTATGTTTATAAATATTCCAATCTAGCATCAAAAACACACCAATTGTTGGAAAGAAATGCAGGAAAAGCATCAGATACTTATGAAACATTCAGGAGAGTGGCATTTCACTTCTTGAACAAATGAGAATTCTTTCTTTCCTGCAAATCGAATGGAGAAGAATGTTTGATAACCAAGTTGTTATTTTGATGTGGCCTTGAAACGTAGTAGTTGCATAAAAACCAATTCTCACAGTTTGAGTTTGAATCAAAATATATAAAATTAATTTGTAATCATCCAATAATGAAAAATTACGAATAAAGTGAATGATCGTGATGAAAATGTTATCTGGCTGTTGTTGGCAGTGTATGAACTCCACTGGATTAAGAAAATATATAATATTCATATATCTTAGGACACATCAGCTTAGTTTGTTGATCATGAAGACATTTTGATACGTAATTTTTGCAGGAGGCCATAATGAAAACAGGATTTTGTAGGAAATTTGAATTTGACTGTTTACTCCCTTACACTGTGGGAACCAAGGTTGTCTTTCCCTGCAGACTCTACTTTTATGTAAATACATGTATTCCAATCTAGCTTCATTTTTTTTAGTCTAAGAACCGGGAAATTACATTGGTGTGGCCTTATGTTTGTCAAAAGATGCTGCAACTAGTAACGTTAGTACATGATTGTATACACTCCATGTAATTCCCATTATTAGAATGTTCTCAGTTTTATGCATAAGGCTAGCAAATTTTTAATAGCTGTATTTAGTAGTAATTTAGATTCCATAGCTGTATTGCGTTTTAGGACTTACAGTGTATTCACTCAGTGTTGCTTGTTTTAAGAATAGTATATGACTTTTTGGAAAGTCCTATCATTTTTGGTATCAGTGTTGCTTGTTTTTGCTAGATCAGGCCACACCAATTTAATTTGTTGGTTCTCGGATTCGCCTCTTCATTTTTTTCTGATTTGCAAAAAAAAAAGATTCTGGTTCAGAATCAACTAAAAATGCTAATATTTTGCTCCCAACAGTTGAGGAAAGTCCTTTTCTTCCTAGTTCTTACAGTTTTTCAATCTTTTAATGCAGTGGTTTGGTTAAAAGTTCAAAATTCATTGTATCAAATTTTATCCTAGCCTTTTGTGTTGACTTCATGGCTCCAATCGAAGCATTTGGGACTATAATAGGATGCCTAGGCCTGTTTTTATTTTTATTTATTTTCGCCCTGTCGCTTCATATTTTTTCTGAAAAAATCCGAGAAACAACAAATTAAATTGGTGTGGCCTCAGCATGTGAATTTACAATACATGTATATCATGATGCATTCCTCTAAATTTTGTGAATGAGAAAGAAACACTGGATATAGATACATTGCCTGTAACTCTTGCCTTTAGATACACCTGACCTTGTCCTCTTGTTGCCTTTGTAACAAAACATGTGGTATCCTGATAACAGGGACAACAGGCCTTCACCAAATGTTGCCATGGCAACAAAACAAACATTATCCTGATAACGAAGACAGCACCAGATAGGGAAAGACATCCATGAACTGCAAAACACAGGAGTATGATGTAAATATAATACAACACGGTGTATTCCGTATCACCCAAAAGTACCAACCTGACCACCGATCAGATCGCCCAAAAGCCAGAGGAAGATCCAACCTGTGGGAGGGCTGGGACTGAGTGGATGAGGAATATAGTCACTATATTTCTTAAGGGGGAATATGGGAGCCCCGGCATACAAATAGGATTGTACCCAGGCTGTGAGGAATACACTGTGTTGCATATTTTATTTATGTCATACCCACCCAAGAAAAGTGCGAAATAAGCAAAAATTTGGTGTCCCTAAACCAAAAAACAACATCAATTCCAACGGCTCAATCTGGTATTTGAATTTTTGAAAGTGTTGCATGTGGCTCAGGCGAAATGTTTTTTGAAATTCAAATTACTCTGTGAAATATTTGGAAGCCCAAGTGATAACCAAACAGAACCCCAGGCTGTACTGCTAGTTATCACACAGGCTGGAACACCTGTATGGAACGTTATTGCGGCACAGGTATGATATAAAGTGAGTTACCCAACACAGTATAGTACATCCCTAAATGTAGAGAATGTTCCCTTTTTTGGTGTGCCTGATATTTATGGACTGAAAAAAATTTTTTTTTTACTTGGAAATGTGTTTCCCTTCTATTAGTACTGTAGTGCACAATTGTTTTAACCATGAACTTAAATTACTAACCACACATACAATACTGAACTCATAAAGCTGTAAGGGTGTGGAAATAGCAACAAACTGAGCATGTACCAGTACAGGTCTGTAGAGACATTTTTTTTGTATTCCTTGTAACTGTGTGATGTGACAGAATATTGCATGGTGGGAAGAAATAAGGCATGATGGGATAAAATCTGAAATTAGCATACATGATCGAGGCAAACAACAAGACAATGCATTGTGCATATACATTGCTACAATAATTAAATGAATGAGCTACATATGAGACTTGAAAAGTAGCAACAGTCATGAAAACTCCAACACCAATTAAAGCCTTTTTTCATATTTATTATGAAATTATCTCTCATTCACAAAAATGTCTAAAACAAATGGTCTCCAGAAACCACATGTCCATCCAACAGTGTTAAAGTATGTTGACACTGGCAAAAGAAGGCCGGTGAACACCACCACAGTAGTGCCCATCTTTGTGTTGCAAAAGGCAGTTAACTAGTTCCAGTGAGGGACACGTTTTTACCTGTTCCACTGGTAAAACTTGCAGGGACATGAAGAATGAAAACGTCCCCAGATTCAGAAAATGTTCACTACTACTCAATCAATTACTTCCATAAATTATTATGCTGTGGAAAATGTTTGCCACGACCAAAGTGGTCAACCTAGCAGCAACCGTCCGAATCACTATTTGGTACGACGTGGTAAGAACATAGGCTGACTTTTGATCGCACCGATGGAAATCAATGCAACGTTGCACCACCACAAGTTACTAGTGACTTGGAAAATTGCTCAATTCAACAAGCGTCATTTTTTTCTGGACCAAAATCTTTTTTTTTCGTTTTCTCCAAACTGGATGCACTGCAAGTGATTGACTGAAAAGTGTGGACAAGATTTGACATCTGTACACGGTATTTGGTCTCCTCATTAACATTGTCTTCAACAACGCCTTCTAATGCCCGTCCTGCTACTACTGATATACCATTGGACCACACTTACACAAGTCAACCAACCAAGTAAGAAGTATAGGGTATACAAAATTGTAAGTAACAGTAAGAGACAGATCACAGTCATCCTCGTAGCAAGTTCAGATTACGGACCACTATCAGACAAAAATCGACTTGTGGCAATCTTAAGCTACCTACGTCTTACTGTATTTTGGTCAAAGAATTTGGTGCATAGAGCCACATCTTAAAAGATTGCAGTCATGCAAAGATCACAAAAAGTTTCCGATAGGCCTGCACCAAATTACTAGTGATTTTGACAGTCAAGTTTCTAGCTTGTCAATCCTCCCATGTGATTAGATAGACCTGCGGGTATGGAGCACCGAAAAACCGAAGCAGGATTTGGAAGAACGGCAGGCTACTGACAGCACCAAACAACAGAAGCTGACATATTTCGCTTCTGGATTCTCAGAGTCTTTGTGTGACCAAAGCTGTTCCAAACACAAGGCAAGTTGTCAAGATGTGAAACTGATTCTACCATAATCAAAACAGTGTAAGAATTGTTTTTTTTACAATACGCAAAAATCAAGCTAAATATTCATTTCATCCAAACCAGCATGGGTTTTGTAGTGGGAAGTTTTCGTTTGGACTTCATCACAAAAAAAAAATGACAACATGCTGACTGGTAAACATCAACCATCACAAAAATCTTATCAAGGCTAGCTACATGAACTTCCAGAAATTAACTGCTAAAAGTTTACATAGAACACGCACTGGCATAAATATTTAAGAAATAACACATAAAAAGATGGTAATACATATTACTTTTATGTAAAAATTAACATTTGATTTAAGAAGATCTGCCTCCTCAAAAAAAAAGAACTACATGCAGATGAACTGACAGAATCTTAACTTTATACACTCAAATCTGTGACCACTTTCAGAAGTTCATCTAATAAAGATCAAAAGTTTTAGCCTTTTTTTAACAAAAGGAGTTGATTGATAAACATACAGTATTTTACATGTATCAACGATGCCTAGCTGTGGAGGAATGTTTGACAAACAATATTGTCATTCATATGAAGAATCTTTCATTTACATTATGTTACAGTCAAATCGTTGGGTCTTGATTGGCAAGGCTAGTAAAAAGCATGACCACAACATTGTGGCACATAGTGGCTTGATATTGTACATCACCACAACAAAACCAGGTTCAATATTGTACATAACTAAGAGTATCCACAGCTTTAATATCCAGGCGTAAGGCTGTTTTATGCTGACAGACCAAATGTTAACATTTTTGGCAAAACCTCAGGGGCGGTGCCTTTTTAATTGTTGTCTCCAAACTGGGAACATTCTTGCTTACATCACTTGCCAGTGGATAGTCTTATGTTATGACCAGGACTTTCTTTTTTCTTTCTTTAATTGGGTCAAAACTGGGCAAACTTTTGGGCTCCTCCTTTCCGTGAATACATGCAGTGCCTCTGGCACACCCTGTGACACCCCTCATGAACAAGTGGCAATGAACCATCATAAAAATTGATGAATCACGACAGCAAATAGGCTCATCTTATGTTCATAGACAGCAGAATCATCTCATCTTTATCTTTTTTTTAAGAGAATGAAAACCAAGCAAGAATCTGTGACTCTTTTTATTTTAGTTTCCGGTAAGGACTGTTTTTAACTGAGGTTGTCCGTCATACAGCACAAATGTTTGTGCCAGAACCAAAATTCAGTCCTCAGCTCCCTGCTACCTAACCTCGTAGCCATTCCAAATGTGGTGCTAAAAGGCTACCTGGGCAGAGAGAAGGTTCAAATGACAGGTGAAAGGTGGCTGCTGTGTTTTCTCAGTACCGACATGAAGGGATTGTCTTTGGGGTGTACCAAACCAGCATCCTTGACTCCAGTAGATGATCCATACTCACATTACCAACACAATAAACACCGACAAAAGCATAGTAGAGAAACTCAGTACAAATAGATTTACCACCTACATGTATTAGAGAAGATATGCTTGACATGTTACATTCTTTCTCTTTTCTAACAACTTCAAACAAACAGACAGCAGTGCACTCAAGTACAGCAAACTCTTTTCTATAGTCACCTCTCCTACCGACCATTGCAAAATCAGCCAATAATGTCAAAGGTCATCCTATGAGCACCATGGGTTGCTATGGGAACAATGCAACGACATAGATTCAAATCCATAGCTACAGTTGGTAGTAGGTTTTAATCAAAGCTAAGTGTGCAAAATTTCAACTGAAACACAGTTGGTGTTGGTACACAACTCTTAAATACCACATTCTTTCAAGTTGTTATTTTGAATAATGTATTTTGTTCTTTCATTCCAAATCTCTAAGCCAGAACTTACAATGTGTAGGAAAATATTACAACATTGACGACTACAGAAACCAGGAAACTGCTTCTACGTCTCTTCAGTTGATCAACGGGATAACTGTCCATATGAAATACTGATTCTGTTGGGAACAAATTACAAACGAAGTTGAAAAAACACGAGCCACTCCTTTGAGCAGGTCCAAGTCCGACAGGCAGCACGAAGTGTTGGAAATGTCTGCAGAACAGGCTGGAAAAAAATTCAAAATTCAGTGAAGGCTGCTCTGACCAATCACGTGCCTGTTAGGTCACATGAGCTACACTGTAGGTGATTGGTCACTTGATTTGACCAATGACGTGCCTGTTAGTTCACATAAGCTAGACCGTATAACAATGCAGGTGATTGGTCACATGACGTCTGATGAAGATTGCAGTAGAACATTCAAAAATTCAATGCACTTAGGCCACATCAATTTAATTTGTTGGTTCTCGGATTTTTTCAGAAAAAATATGAAGCGACAGGGCGAAAAAAAAACAAAAAAAAAACAGTTCTAGGCATCCTATTATAGGCTTAAATGCTACGAAATGAGCCATGAAGTCAACACAAAAGGCTGGGTTAAAATTCAAACATTGAATTTTGAACTTTTAATCAAACCACTGCAATGATAGATGGGAAAACTGTAACAACTAGGAAGAAAAGGACTTTCCTCAACTGTTGAGGGCAAAACATGAGCATTTTTTCAGTTGATTCAGAACCAGAATCATATTTTTTTTTTTGCAAATCAGAAAAAAACGAAGAGGCGAATCCGAGAACCAACAAATTAAATTGGTGTGGCCTTACGTATACTTTTGTGTTGTAACAAAGTTGCAGCTTTGTACTACATGCTAACTGCCAACATTATAAACTTTCATGCAAGTTTTAATATTACTTCCTTGTTTGTTAATACCTTCACTCTAAATCAAAACTACCATGGGCCATAAAAACCTTTAGATAACTACCATCACCGTACAAGACAAAATGATGCCTACTAACTATGCTAATATACTTTCTAGTGGATACATAACACAATATGTAGCTAATAAGCTCGAATATATCAGTCAACTATTGGTCAATAAAAGAAAAAGAATAAATGTATGCAAAAGACATTTGTAGGAAAATGCATGATATTTTTCTCCTATTATGTGTGTGAATTTATTGGCAAAAGTACTTTTCATCAGTGAATCTACTTTCAAACACACAGAACAAAACTAATAATTATGTAAGGTTCACAAAAGAATAGAATCCTAAGACGCATATTGATTTTTTAAGGATGTCTTACCTTCCTTCTTCCTCAGTCTCCTGAACTTCTGTCCTGCTGTTCTTTTCTTTGTTGTGTTTCTTTCATCTTTTCCACATAGTCACCGAAGATGTCTCGGAAACGTACCCATGACTTTTCCGGAATGGTTATTGATGTGCGAAAAGTGCTCTTCACCTATAAGGTTCAAACCAGTCACAGGTTGAGGTAAAGCTGTCGTCGTCAATGGACCTATACCATTATTACGTCACAGTTTGTTTACCGCAATGAATGCCGGTCAATCGACGTTTATATTGTACAGGGGTGCGTAGCACGGTGTGTGTTTGTGTAACGTTAGCCTAATATAAGGCTTTTAATACATTACTACTTTCGTCTAATGTCACAACTAAATCACCCATGCGGCATGTAATGCTGTGTCAACACAACTAGATGCAGCAAAAATCAGACATACCTGACTTTGAAAACTTTGAAATGATCTTTATTCTTTAACTGACCGTTCTAGAATGTTCTTTAGAACAGGTAAACAAACTGTGACCTAATAATGGTATAGGTCCATTGAGGTGAAGCATAATACTTTTTTTTTGTGCAGCTTATAGTGCAATGTACCTTTGCTACAGCTTGCATTTTATACTATATTACAGTTAACCGCAGTTTCAGTTGATCCAGTACCCACCCCTAACACATGCTCACACCCACAACCACATCCTCACATCCACACACTCTTATACATGTATACACACACACTCTCTCTCTCTCACATACACACTCATACACACATGCACGTACGCACGCACGCACACGCACTCATACACATACGCACACGCGCACACACACACACTCATGCGCTCTCACACACGCTCCCTCACACACAGTCTCTCACAATAGTTATCTTTTTCATGTATATTTTGCAGGGCCCAACTGTAAAGCAGAGCTATGGCACTGAGAGGGGTCACCCTTGTGGTGAGGTCAAACGTCTGAGACATTCTTGATGAAGTGAAACAGAAACGTACCTCTGATATGCGCATGTAGACACCTCTGTTGTTGCTGCCAATGTCGAAGTAGAAGTTTTTATTTTCCACCCTCATGTGACGACCTTCAGGGAGTTCTGGTTGTTCTGCTGACCACACAGAGTGAAACCAAGTCAGTATCAAGTATAGACATCCTAGTTAACAACCCTGTTCCAAAAGTTTACAACTAAACTGCCCCTGCAGTTCCAAAGAAAGCAGGTAGTGGGCCCCAACTTATGTCCCTTCTTTCAGAGTATGATAGAGCTAACTTCACCTAAAATCCTGACTACCGGTATAGCTAGACCAGAACATGTACATGAGATAGAAAATAGTTTGTTAGAACTGGAAGTTCTATCAAACGTATACCGTTACAGAGAAATTTGACCATGACCATTTCGTTTTTTTCTGATTTGCAAAAAAAACCATGACCATTTCGTTTTTTTCTGATTTGCAAAAAAAAAAAAATTTGATTCTGGTCCTGAATCAACTGAAAAATGCTCATGTTTTGCCCCCCAACAGTTGAGGAAAGTCCTTTTCTTCCTAGTTGTTACAGTTTTCCCATCTATCATTGCAGTGGTTTGATTAAAAGTTCAAAATTCAATGTTTAAATTTTAACCCAGCCTTTTGTGTTGACTTCATGGCTCATTTTGTAGCATTGAAGCCTATAATAGGATGCCTAGACCTGTTTTTATTTCTATTTTTTTTCGCCCTGTCGCTTCATATTTTTTTCTGAAAAAATCCGAGAACCAACAAATTAAATTGGTGTGGCCTAAGGTGAATATCTAACATGTGGAAGATATACTTTTTGTGTTAGCTTTAACATCAAACTAAGTAATCAAAAAGACCTCCTTTTAAACAATTACCACTCATGTCATCGGTGCCGAACTCATCCAGCAATTCCGTTAGCGCATCTCTGAACTCGACCAAGCCCTGGGCTGGCAAGGCGATCTGTGTCCGTGGTCCGCGGTTGACGGTTTGGCTAACCTGGGGACAGGCACGAGCAAATCATTCCATGGACACCTAAATCATGTAGATTCAAATATAGATAAAGTTTCCATTACTAAATAGTGCATTCATCTCTGCCTTCACTTAGTCTGCATGTGTGCAATGCCAGCAACAAACTGTCCATCACAATTAGCAGTTTGACCAATGATAACAAGGCAATTAGTGGTTTGACCAATGAAAGAGTGGCTGCATGTCTGTCAAATATTTGTATTTGTGCAGTTTTATTTTGTACGTCTACATTTTGACGGTCTAATAATAACAAGACATGCAACAGTTATTTTCTGGGTTTGACAGTGACTCCCCCCAAATCAATATCTCTGGATGTCAACATGCTAGCTACAACTGTACATGTATAAGGCCGCTTTATAACCTGTCAGATTCCCAACTTTTCCACCTTGACTGTTAGAAGGAGTGTTGCATACTGATAGAAGGCTGCCTACTGTTACCATGGTGGGTAAGGCAGACAAGGGGTGATCAGAGAAGGGTGGTATATCAGGGCTCAAAATACTGGGTGCATATGCAGTTAAACTTGGGACGTTGGAGCTGTGCAGGTATTTCTGATGTCTACCTGCACCTAACCTGCACTGGGTATATGCAGGTTAGTGCAGGTAAAATTGGAGCTGTGCAGGTATTTCTGATGTCTACCTGCACCTAACCTGCACTGGGTTTAGTAGGTGTATGGTGATTTCCATTTGTAGCATTGACTGTTACCATCTATTAAGTATAAAAGAAATAATAGTTTTTGAACAGATTCCACTACGATCCACACTGTCTGAGTGGTGCAGGTAAAATTTGTCTTGTGCAGATAATGTTCAATGTTATCCCCAGTGCAGGGATAGAACTGGGTTCGAAATACCCGCTCCCACTCTTTTTTGTTAGTTTCTTTACTCTAAATCAAAGTTTGGTCTACCAACAGCTAACTCCCACTCCCATCACTGTACAAGAGAAAATGACTATGCTAACATGCTTTCTAGTGGGGGTAAATTCCGTTAGTGCATCTGGCAAGGCGATCTGTGTCTGTGGTTGATGAGTTGGCTAACCTGGGGACAGGCACAAGCAAATCACTTTATGGACAAATCTCTAGGTGCACCATCAAAAATTAGGTGCACCGCTATTATTTGGGTTGCACAAAAGTGATATGCTCTGCATGTCTACAGTTGACACTAGACTTGTGTGCACACTTCAAATGGGGCAACAATTGTTTCTACGAGCGGTGGTTTCTTTTGCAGAAGGCCTTGATGAGGGGCAGATCTAGAGCCGTATCTACAGAGAGCTGGCTTGCTTATGTGTAACTCCCTCCGTGGATAAATCCCCGTGCCAAAAATCATGTACCAGCGCTCCCCTGAAAAAATAAACGCTGCCACTCCAAGAGGTCTGTTAAGTTGGCACTAATATTTTCATTTTAAAATCTTCATAAAGGTTCACTTTCCCTGCCTATAAAGCCCAGTTAAATTTTCCCTTTATTTTCAACCTCCTGATTCTTCCTTGTGTGTTTTTATGCAGAAACAAATTGGGCATATACTGACCCTCAAAAATCGGCCACGCGCGTTCTCTTTAAGGTCCAGGTAATAACGTCTGTTTTCCTTGACCATGGTCTCGCTCTTCAAGCGTCCATCCTCGGGAGGGTTGTCAGGATTGGCTGGCCCTGCACCAACCAAGGCAAGCCATGTTAAAATGGTAGCTACTGTCAATTCATTTACTTTCGCAGGCACTAGACTTTGCAATAGGAGAGTAAAGGAGGTTTTCTCTGTGTTTTAATTTAAAAGCATATTTGTGGTATAATGACTTGAATGTACAGAGGTCACCACAAGAATAGAATCAACATGAATACCTTAAACAATTGTTAAATTTTATCCCTATGTGTGTAAACAACTGTATAGCCCATTTAGAATCGTAATAATGTTGTATTTTGCAACCAGACCCAACAATTCAGCCGAATGTATCTCGGCTGCCAGTGGGTCCTGGGATTTATTTGTTCATCAATAAACCAGTCTATATATAATATTTCAAGATTTAGATTATACATGGTAATGAAGCATCTTTAAGCATGAAATCTCTATGTCGGTGAATGGCATGATAATACATTTAACTACATTACTGTCGTAACATGCAGAGTTGTAGGGTCATTGTAAAGTCATTAATTTTTCGCAGTCTTAACTCCACAGTTGGATGTAGAGAGTTCTGTAATTATACTCTTCATGATGTCTTGAAACTATAACTACTGGAACATTTAAACATCTATGGATTCTGACTAGAATTTAACATTTCTTGTGTCTTATGACTAGTGCTAGAACAGACCAAACTTGGAGTCCATGACTTACCCAGCTGTGCATAATGCTCACTGAAGTCTGTGAGATGATCGCGAAATTCTGCCGCTGTTGACATTGAAAGTGTTAAACGGCTTTTGTTGCCACCAGCACCGACCTGTGGAAAAGACCAGATTTGATTTGATTTGATTTATTGAAATTGCAACAGTGCAATACACATGGAACAGAGGCAGCTGTTGCTGGTGTTGTGTCCCGCACATAGAAACGGATACTGGATAGATAATACTCATTTTCACTTGAGTCTAGTGGGGAAAGTCGTGTAAAGTGCCTTTCACAAGATCGGTGGCATGTCAGGACTCGAACCCGGGACCTCTTGATTCCGAGTTGCGCACGCTGCCGTTGTGCCACACGACCCCATACACGGATTTCTGACCTATAATTCCTAATTCAAGGAGAAAACATCTAAAAAAACAACCAAACAAACAAACAAACAAACAAACAAACAAACAAACAACTCTTTGGCTCTCTCTCCTGTCCATTTTGTCTGTGGTGCAACAATTTAATTTGTTGATTCACGGATTCACATGTTTCTGATTTGCAAAAAAAAATTATATCAGCCTCTGAATCAACTCCAAAATGCTCATATTACGGTCCCAACGGTTCAAGAAAGCTCCTTGCCTTCCTAGTTGTTACAGTCTATCCATCTACATGTGTATCAATACATTGATAAAAAGGTTGAAAACAATTGTTTGAATCATAAACCAATCCTGGTAAGTTGACTTCATGGCTCCTATCATAGCATTTGGGGCTATATATCATAGGATGCCTAGGTGTGTTTTTATTTTCTATTTTTTCCACCGGCTTTTCTTAACATTATTTCTGAAAAAATCCGACAACCAAATTGTTGTAGCCTAAGCAGTTACAGCCTCTAGAGGAAAGAGGGTGTAACGCCTAACAATGTTTGGATAAAGCTATCTTACCAACAGACCACTGACGATAGCAAATTCCATTGAATTTCTACAATAGCTTTAGGGAAGAACAAATTCTAGAGTATCTCTGAACTGGGGGAAAAACACTGTAATTTTAATATTTCCTGTTTTTTTTTTAATAACATGATGCAGTTACAAATTTTACAAGCATTTAAATTTTATATGACAGTTAAACTTGTAATTGTGACTATTTTCAATTTAATATACACACATGTAACGTTACACATACTAATTTGAAAGCTTGCCATTTTGCTCCATATTTAGAGCTGAATATCATACTTCCATCACAGTCATTGTGCAAGTGTAATTACGGATTTCATTGCGATATTGCCCTAAGCCAATAGCATATAGCAAGCACAGTCTGCCACACAGACGGATACATCATGAACAAAGAAAGCATTATGAACTTGAAATATAATATAAGAAGAAATTTACATGTCAGACATGGGTTTGATTTTCATACTTATGAAATACTTCTGACGGAGGATCGAATCAGAGCCTTAGGCACATATCAGGCACATGTCACTGTCATTCTGCAAATTATTCAAATAGCTATGTAAGGGTACCCTAAATTGTTGTTTCTCGGTTTCAGAAAAATTATGAAACAACAAGGCAAAAAAAATAAAAAAATAGGCTAGGCATCTACCCAAATGCTATTTCAGGAGCCATGAAGTCAACATACATGTACCAGGCCGGTTTGTAATTCAAACAATGAATTTCATACTTTATTAATCGAACCACTGCATTGATAGATGAAAAAACTGTAACAACATGACTTCCTTTAATTTTGGGGGCCAAAAAATGAGCATTTTGGAGTTGATTCAGAGCCTGAAATGTTTTTATTTTTTTTGCAAAACAGAAAAAAATTAAGCAGGCAAATCCTGGAACTAACACATTTAAATTGGTGTGGCCTAATACTGCAGAACTATGAATATCAGTGTTTCCTGTTGTCTACTCACCTCGGCTATTTTGAGAAAACGGCCTCGCCGGTTCTGTTTGACATCCAGGTAAAACCGTTTCGACTGGATGTGAAGTGTCTTTGTGGCTAGTTCTTGGACACCTAAAACAGAGAAAACAAAGACAGTTTCAATAACTGTAAAGTATCATCCACACAACAGAAATACACGTATGTCCATAAGTAGTATTACAACGCAATACCATACAACTGAAGTGAAATACCATACGATTATTTAGAATACAATACAATCATTTACAATTAAAAGATGATAGAGTAAACCAAATTGATTCAATAACTAAAATAAAATGGAATAGAAAATATCATTTTTCCCATATTCACAACCTTCTTGTGTACCAACTGTAGCCTGGACTGCCATGCCAAGATAGGGCTGATTAGCCACACTAGAAAATGCACACGACACCAGACTTAGAATGCTACAATCATCTTTCGATATGGAAACATGCCCACTCCTATATCTAATCCAGATCTTTTCCAAAGCTATATTACTCTGACAAGTTCTTAAAATATCTACCTGCCATAAATGACATTTCCTTGCTTGCTACCATCCAGAAAAATCTATCATTCTCCCAGTAACAAAGGTGGGTTTCTAAAAAAAAGCCTCATTACCAAGCGAATGGCGGATCCAAGGTTGACTTGTTAGTACGTTAGGCAGATGTCTAACCATCTGTGAGTTTATGATAGGAGCCACATCTTATTAATTCTGCACACATAGAAATATCTGATGCTTTCATTATACTAACATGTTTATCATCCTGATAATTTCTTATAAAAAAACTTTGATATGCCAGATAAATGAGAATACAAGAGCAATATATAGCATGAGTGCATGCATAAACAAGAAAGCCTAAACGATTTCAGGTATAAATAGGTGGGATTTTCTAAAAGACTGCATCTGCCAAGCACAGCCAAGCTATTTCCAGTACCTTTTATGTAGCTAGATGATTTTTGCTTCCATATGCTAAGGGTTCAACTCCCAAAAATAGTTCCATTTGCCTCAAAATATCACAATGAGAGAAATGCTATATGTAGTAACAAAAGAACCATATATAATAGCAAGAAGGTTAATTTGATTTTAAACCTCCTTGATAATAGTAGTCAACCATAACTAAAATTTATACCAGTGCTGTTTTAACCAATGATAATTGAAACATTTATGAACACTAGGAAAGCTAGAGATTATGATTATGATTATGAAACCTGAATACCATATATCTGTTGAATTACTAGGTTGCTCATCAAATTTTTTCACAGCGTAAGGGTCAGGAACAGAAGTTTGTGGCGTCGCGTGGTGTAGTGGTACATCACTGGACTATGAAACGGGGAGACCCGGGTTCGATTCCGGGTTGTACCCGAACAAGTCCGAACATGCGCCCCGACGTTGTACCCTTGGGAAAGGTACTTTACACGACTTTCCTCACTTCACTCAGGTGAAAATGAGTACCTAGCTTCGGTTAGGGGCGTCTTATCGGATGGGACGTTAAAATGGAGGTCCTGTGTTTGAGGAGAGACACACCTCAAGCACGTTAAAAAACCCACGTGAGCGGAAGTGGAACAAACCATTATGGTCTAAGAAGGGGTAGGGAATTTTCCAGACCAGCCTCGTAACCCCTGCTTCTCCTATTGGGTCAGTTAGTCCTCACTTCTTGTGAGGATGTTTCTGACTCAGGGAGAAGAGTTGCTGTTACAGTTCTATACCTCTAGCTCTATGCCTAGAAGTGGCCAATGGCCTTGCATTGAGCGACACTGTTAAAAAAAAAAAAGTTTCCACGGTGCATGGGGTATTCTCCCCCCAAAATTAAAGACATAACCCTGTGAGACATAATTTTCTGCTTCTTGACAAATATCGGGAGAAATACTATTGGCTCCACTGCGATAAGCTACAGTTGTGGTGATGAGAAGAAAAGATTGATGGAATGGAATGTAACGTACCATCACCAGTTGAATGCATCATTTGTGGCCTTGAATGTTTTCATGAAATATTTATCAATATTCCTCCAGGTAGGGCCAAACTGTACATTAACATTGTGCAGGTACACTTGCTTAATGGTTATCTAGACAGATAGAACCTGCAAGTACAAAACACGGCTTGAAATACTCTTTTATATTCGTGGGGACGTAATTTCGTGGTACAAGGGATTGAAATAATTCAGTAATACTAATAGTGCAGTAATATATATTCACAGTGTCATAAATTTTGCAGGGAGGTCACTGTGAAAATAAAACATTTTAAGATGTGCAGTACTTTTTTTTCTATTGGCTTCAATATTTTACTTGACATCTGATAAACCTTTCTGCAAGAACCGTAACTGTTCCGAATAATTTTGAACTAGGATATTCTAATGCTTCAATATTTTTGTGTATGTATTTTAATGAATGAATTGCTCATATTCATGTGCTTGGGTTTTGATAAGTCATATACTCTCACCTCTCGAATAAAAGTACCCCCTGGAATAAAAGTACCCCCGGACAAATCTTCAAAATGTAATAAAAGTACCCCCTGGAATAAAAGTACCCCCCGGAAAATTTTTAATTGGCATGTGAAAGCAATGTTTATGCTACTAAAATGTGTTCTCATGGTGTACATGTATGTTTCCCTTGCAAACACAGGTCCCAAATAAACATACCCCCGGAAAAAAAGTACCCCCGAGAAATCTTCAAAACCTAATAAATATCCCCCCCCCAGAATAAACATACCCCTGGAAAATTACCAAATTATCAGCCTGCATTCTTACAGGTTAATAAGAGGTACATGCCTATGTATATGTCGTGCAGTCTAATGACATTATCCATCTACATTCTAACTTGAGATCTGACTCTGAGTTCACACAATTTGTTGTTGATCATTACATTTGCATGCATGCATTGAGCAGGAACAATGCTATCAAGTTTTGGGATAAGAGTCCTTGTTTTTTAAGGTTAAGAAAAATTACATGAATAGAGTTTGAAGTTGAACAGAAATTTACAATATGCTAAATACATGCTCTATACAAATTTGCATTAATGTGTAAAAAGACATAGGGAAAAGAATCAAATATAGAATATAATGTTAGATTTTGAATGGTATTTCATTTTTATACCTTTAAAAAAACTTCAATCAGTTTTCAAACAATTGACACAATCCACAAGTCACACACAAAGTTCACACGAGAATAGCAACAATTCGGACTGCCACAATCTCAAGGGTCTCAGGTTTCACTTACAAAATGTAGCAAGCCTTGAAGTTTGTGTTAGTATGCAAATGATGGGAGGCGGGGCTTGGAAGAATGGTTCATTCTCTAGTAGGGGGACATGAATATTTAAAACATTTTGATGTGTACTTGATATGAATAGATTGCAAGTTTGTCATGTCAACACCTTTTTAAGAATTACTCAACTCTTCCATAATGTAACATCCATATGTGATTTTTTAAGAAAGAGTTTTATTCACATTTAAAAATCATAGCTTCCCCATACTCAAAGTAGGCTCTTCCACATCGTGGGAAGTTTTCAAGTGTTTACTCCTTACGTGCTCCAGTCAGAACGGACTATTTCCAGCTTGAATTGTCATTTCTCTGGTAGGATTTTGGAATTTTTGTGAGAAATACGATTTATTATGCTAAAATACACTCTTGTCTGGTATTATTTTCATATTTTCGTTGGAAAAAGGAATACTTGAAACACGTAATGTGCAAGCACATGTTCCTCCCCCCCAAATTATTTCTAGTAACGCTAGAGTCATATCTCCGACCTGCTACGTGTTCCAAAATATTACTTACCTTTTTGGAAAAAAGAGGTGATCTTTTCCCTACAAAAGTACAAGTACGATGACTCAGTAAATCTGCCGTACGTTTGGTGTCAGTAAAGTTCTGCCCGTGCATATTTGACATGTTGCAAAGTGGCCGCTACTTTGGGCGGCTGTGTCCGGGCATCGTGGCTTTCCAAAAACTTGCACCCAGAAAAGATGTTTTCTCCAAAGGGCATGTACTTTCAATGCTGTTAACTATGCCCCGATTTTGAAAAATTATTATATGCACCGTCCAAAATGAGATCGTACCGGGTGGATGTTCGGGCCAACAAAAAAAGGGACACGAGAGTTAGTTTATTCAAGGCCGTTCAACACCGGAGCGGCCACCCCCGGTCTTGTCGGATCCTCTTGCGTACTGGCAGAACTAACGACAAAACATGAAAAGTTCCCGCTAGAATACCGCAACAAGCTCCTACAAAAAGACTTAAATGTATTATTTGTAGTAGGAACTTCCTTTTTACGTCCAGACATGTGCCTTTCGTGACATTTTAACTCTGCAGTTACGTACTTTTTTGCCCGGAACTTTTTTTGATTCTGAGAAAAAAAATAAACGTACCGTCTAAAATAAGAACGTACCGGGCGGATTTCAAGGCGAAAAAAAATAAACGTACCGGTACGTTTAATCGAGAGTAAAGAGTAGGGGACCACAAATAGGAACACAAAGAGGAGTTTGTATCAGCCTATATTTACTCAACACTGCACAGTATGTCAGCTGACGAACTTTGACCTGCATTGTTAACCTTTCACCCTAGACCCGCCCACTTTGGCCTCAACATAATAAATTCTAGGACTGAAGAGAAGCATCTCATTGGCTGAATTGTCAATTATAATTGGCAGTAAGAATCAGTCTACTTGGCCAAAAAGTGGCAAAGATGGTTAAGTTAAAATCTGTATCTATAATTTAAGTTTATAAGCTAAGGTGTACTGACCCTTAAATTCAAGTGTAGTGTTTTACAATCTTAAGTTGACCCAGTTTATACCTGGATTGGGAGAATATAGGCCCTTACAAAGATGCCCAAACCAGCTTCTTACCAGTTTCTGAAGACAGAAACCTTCCAGAGTTAAGTTTTAGTAGATTGTTAAGAGAAAATTTATCCAATGAGTATGTGGCACACTTAATCCCCAGTGTTTCATGGTAAGAATTTCTTGAGATTAGGTGAGGCCAGTTTTGGGTGTGGACGAAGAAGACAGGTTTTACATGTAGGAGGGCCTGCAAGGGGGGGTCCCGACAATGCTCTACGTTGAATTTGGAAACCTCTCGATTACGCTTTACGATAAATTCCAAGTGGCTACAACG